GCGTCCGACCCTGAGACGAAGGTCGAAATCTTGCCACCTGGAGCCGCGCAGAAGTATATTGGCCGGACATTAATGTTCCAGGGCCCGCATGCAAGCGAAGTTGAAAGGATAATTTCAGCAGGATGGCGACAATTTCATTCCTTCATACACGAACGCACTACCCGCGCGCATTCATTGCGTGGCAGAGTACGTTTATTCAACGGCACGGTTACACCAACAGCGCCTGGTGGCCGTGCGTCTGAGGCCCCCACGAACGAGTTGGAGAACCGGTTGCGCCAGGCGCGGCGCCGCTCGACGCGGGGCGACGGGAAGACACTGACGGAGAACGCTCAACAGAACAAGTTTGCCAAGATACAGACCGCCCCCTAGCGCCGACGACAGACAATGCCTCGAGCGACGCAGGGTCGCAAAAGACAGCGCTGTTCGTCGACGACCACCGGGGCGGAGATGACCGCTCCGAGCCGCGGGTCGACAGGATAAAACGACCCACACATGAAGTGCAACATGCGTTAGGGAAGTTGGGCACCATGCGACTGGATAGCTACCCAGCGACGGAGGGAACGGAGATGGGCATCTCAAGTCGCCCCCGACCGTCGCGAGTGGACCCACGCAGCATTGGCGCGGGAGCCCGCTCTGCACGCGGAGCCCCGGCCATTTGTTCGCAGACAAGCGAGGCCGAAGACGCGATGGGTAGATGATATGCGCGATCATGCGGAGATGGCCTTGGGAATTGCCGCCAGGACAGATGAGTGGATCGACGCGGCCACAACGCCATTGCCGAATGAGTTGGAACATTATGTTGCGAATCGCGAGCGAGCCAGATACTCGCGACCCTTGCCAGCAGCGCGCGGCATATGCTTTTTTGGTTCGAGCGATCCGGCCCCGCCCCGCTCTGCCCCCTCGCGCGGGCGCACTCGCGCGCGCCGCCATCGCCGTCGCCGCCCGCCCGCCCCCGCACCCCTGCCCCGACCACTGACCCGTTCGAAGCTCAAGCATATCTGCTTGGACTGCGCCAGGCTTGGGGGCGGCATTTTCAAAACCTGACAGTCTCGCGGCGCTCGCGGCTGAGAGGGCGCTGCCGACTACAGATGCGGCGCGCCCTGTGCCCGAATATATATGTATATATACATATATATATATATATATATATATATTATACATATATACATATATATATATATATACAAATATATATATATATATATATATATATGTACTCGTTCGCCCCCCCAGTCCGCGCAGGGCTGGCCGCCGCTTCTAGGGCGCGCGCAGACATTGGCTTTCGACGCAGGCGGGAGAGTTTGACGCCCAAGCGTTGTATAGAAGAGAGAGCGCCCGCCGCGGCCTGCGCGGCGAACGCTCGACATACAAGCGCGCAACACAAAGTGGCGAGCTGCAGAGCGCGCCGCCGACGCCAGCCGCCGAGCGCCGCCGGGGGGCGCCCAGGAAATGACGCGTACACGCGCGAACCGCAGCAGAGAGGCGCACCGCTGCAACCAATTTCGGCTCTTCGAGCACGCGCAAGGCCTGGTTTGCAAATGCGGTCGTTTGAGAGTCGCGCACAGCCGCAATCTACGCAATGGTTGCCCAAACCGGCTGCGGCGAGCCAGGTTTGAGGCCGCGCCAAAGATTTACAATAAAGTGGCACGACCCCGAATGCTAAACAAATGGCCGCGACTCGCTGCGCTTGGCTTAGCCGCCGTCTACTCCTCCTCCTCCCCCCACTCCTCCTCCCACCCCCCTTCCTCCTCCTCGTCCTCCTCCTCCTCCCCGTAGCCACTGCGTCTCAAGTCCGCCCCCCCCTCGGGGGTCTCGGACTTGGCCGAGATGGTCGCCGTTGCCGTTTCACCCGAGGCCTCCTGGCCAAGCGCTGCGCAGCCCGCTCTCGGCCGCGGCCCTCCATGCCCGCCGCCGGGACGCCACGGCAGCGGCTTCCGAGCCTGCCGCTCGGCCTGCCGACCGCGCTCAACGCGACGCCGCGCACCAGGTCCGTCGCGGCCAAGCACGCGCGATGACTTCGAGCTGCCCAGCGAGGTCTTCTACCGCGCACTGGAGCTCGGGCGGCGCCGCAGCTGGACTTGCCCCATACATCTCGCGGGCGGGCGCGGCGGGCCCGCCCCAGCGCAAGCCCAAAATGCTGCCGCCCATCCCCGTTGACAGAGGCGCCGGCGGGGAGCCGCGCCTCGTCGCCGATTCCCCGCGCCGCCCTCGCGACGCTCATGCCGTTGATGAGGGTGGCCTGCCCGTTTCTTCGCGCGACGCCCACGGCGTCGTTGCGGCGGAAGCTCCTGTCGGCGCCGCCTTGCGCGCGCGGCGCGTCCGAAGATCCGAAGTTCGCCGCCGTGCTGGTGGCATGCATGTGCAGCCTGCCCAATGCCGCCCTCCTGCCGCGCATGCTGTTGCTGATGATGGTCTGGATAAACCCGCATGTAATTTTCCCTCTTCGCCCCTCTCTTCTTGCCGTCGCTGGTGGAAGTCGTGCCAGCGCTGCCGATGGAGTCTTGCATGCCCTTCCCGTCCAAGGTCACGTTGTCTGCGCGCTTCACGGCCTTCCTTCCCGACGCGACGGCGCTAGCCACCTGCCACCGCCGCCCGCTGGAGGCCATGTTGCAGCTGCTCTCTCTCTCTCTCTCTCTCTCTCTCTCTCTCTCCCTCTCTCTCTCTTTCTCTCTGTTTGTTTGTTCTCTCTCTCTCTCTCTCTCTCCAGGTCGCGGAGGCGCTGGGCCCCCCCTCCAACAGTTGCAGCCGTTGCCCCCGAAGGGCTTCATGATGAAGCTGATCCTCTGCATGAGCTGCCTACTGCTGCCGCTGGTGGTGATCTGCACGCCCCCGAAGAGCTTTCCAGCGAGGGCGCTCCTCTGCACGCACCTTTCGATGCCGCCGCCGGCGTTCCGCGTGCCCCCGATCCGCCTCGCGGCGAAGCCGCCCTGCGCGAGCCTCGCGACGCCGCCGGCGGCGGCGACCTTCGTGCCCCTGAAGAGCTCCACGGTCACGACGCCCCTCTGCGCGGACCCTCTGATGCCGCCGCTGGCAGCGACCCGCGAGCCCCCGATCAGTTACGCGGCGAAGGCGCTCTTCTGCGCGAACCTCCCGCTGCTGCCTCTGGCGGCGTCCTGCGCGCTCCCGGAGTGCCGCGCGGCGAAGACGCCCCTCGGCGCGATCCTCCCGGCGCGGCCGACGGTGGCGAGCGCATCGCCCCCGAAGATCTTCAAGGTGTAGGCGCTCGTTCGCCCGGGCCCCCCGACGTTGCCGCCGGCGGCGCCCTGCATGCCCCCGAACAGCCTCGTGGGGAACACGGTCCAATTCACGCACCCCACGACATTGCCGCTGGCGGCAACCTACATGCCCCCGAAGAACTTCAAGGCGAAGCCGCTCATCCGCACGGACCTCCTGGCACTGTCGCCGGCGGCGCCCTGCGTGCTCCCGAACAGCCACATGGAGAAGACGCCCCTCTGCACGCGCCTCTTGATGCTGCCGCTGGCGGCGCTCGGCTCGCTCCCGAAGAGCCCCGAGATGAAGGCGTTCATCTGCACGAACCTCCTGACGCTGCCGCTGGTGGCGAACACCATCTCCAGTCCTCGCGGCGCCGTCGCTGCTCCGTTTCGTCCACACACGCCGCTTTTTGACCGGGGGGTCGCAGCCGCGGCCGCAGCTAAGAGCGCGCTGTTGCGGGGGCGGCGGCGGGTCAAGCGGCGCGGCGTTCTGAAGAACAACCGCCCCTACCACCGGTGCTTCGACGCCCGGGTGGCCCTCGCGTTTGCCGAGGTCGCGAACGGCGCTGGCGAGCCCGCCTCTGTCCTGCAAGCTGCCCCCGCTGAAGGCACGGCTGCGCCCGACGACATCCTTCGCGCGCCGCGGCGCGCTGCGATATCACGCGGCGCCCCAGGTCGCCGCTTCTCTTCCGAGGTGGCCCGCTCGGGGCTGGGGGAGAAGTCAGCGGTCCAGGACGCCCCTTTCTCTCGATGCCTCCTCCGCCCCTCGCCAGCGTTGCCCTCCGTGCACGACAGATGCGGCAACCGTGCCTGGAAGCCGCCCGTGCCCCACTCGCCCCCGACCCCGCCTGTTCCCGTCTTTTCGGCTTCCCCGAGTCACGACATGAAGTTATGTACTGACGACTGCGCGCGCTCCTCACGCGCCCGTGCAGCGAGAAGCGCTGCACATTGCATCCAGACAAGTTAGGTGCACGGCAGGGGCGCGCGGAGAGACGTCACTTTGTTGGCCTCTTCTCGCGTCGTTCCCGCTGGCCCTCTTCTCGTCCTCCTCGGGCTACTTGCACTCCTCCTCCTCCACCTCCATGTTTTCCGATCGAGTGGTGGACCTGCGGTTCCGGGAAGGCACCCCTCCTTCCGTTTGCGCGGCGCGGCGTCAAGTCTCAAGAAACGACACGCACGGCTACACGTGACGCCCGTTAGGGGTTGTTTAATCCAAATGCTTATGATGCGATGTTGAACACGAATCGTCGATGGGACCAGTGGCGAGGAGGAGAGACGTAGTCTACTGCGGGGGGATATGCGTTCAGTCTGCTCACCTTTTCTAGGCCTCGGGTTTCCAAAACCATATGTAAAGTAAAAGGAATGAGTGGCAAATGTGAACAGACACGCTCAACTCCTGCTTTTGCTCCTCTACTCATTCTTCTTCTGGCCCGCATGGCGTCTTCCCCAATCAGAAGCCCGACAGGTTTTGTGAAAGTTCTGAGGAGGATGAGGAGTAGCAGGGAAGACGGGCGAGAAGGAAGGTGGGAACGTGGAGGAGGAGGAAGAGGAGGAGGAGGAGGAGGACGACGACGACGATGGCGAGGAAGAGCGGGCACAGAACAAACAACATGATGAGTAGAGGGGGAAAGAGTCGGATGTGGAGGCCGGAGGGTAGCGAAGAGCTGAGAGTGAGCTGGAGGGCGGACGGAGGAGTGGAGCGAGGAGTGGAGTGGAGAACGGGGCGGAGAGCGGAGTGGAGTGGAGTGAAGCGGAATGGGCTGTCGCGCTGGCGGCGGCAGCAGCGAGCCGCCGCCGGTGCAGGTGGCCAGCGGCGCCTTCGCCCGCAGGCTGCGGGGCGGCTGGAGCTCCGGGACCCTGGAGCTGACGTCGGGCGACGAGGCTCGCCACGAAGGAAGGATGTCTTGAGGGGAACGGGTCATACATCCAGGGCTCTCCCCAGGACCAGTTCTTCATCGCGTCGTTCGGGGGCGGCGAAGATGGGGTAATGGCTAGGGCGGTTGGATATCATGAATGTCTTGAGGGGAAGGGGTCATGCATCCAGGGCTCTCCCCAGGACCAGTTCTTTATTCTAGGCCTCCTAGATGGGTCGGAATAGATGGGGTCGGAGGATCGCGCCGCATCGCCGATGCATCGGCGATGCATCGCCGATGCGGCTCGATGTGCAGCCCGAGCTGCTTCCCGTCAACGTCGCCGATGCATCGCCGACGTCGACGCTGCATCGCCAGAGCATCGCAGATGCATCGCCGATGCATCGCCGATGCGGCGCGAGTCTCCGACACCATCTGCTCGGACCCTACCTGGGAGGCCTGGATTCATCGCGTCGTTCGGGGGCGGCGAAGATGAGATAATGGCTAGGGCGGTTGGATATCATGGCTGGGGCCATGAGACCTCCTCGGAATTCATGGCCCATGTTCTCATTCCCCGAACAGCGCTTGGATGGCGGTATGGCGCTTGGATTATCATTTTACTTCTGATCTAAGGCATTGGGCCTGGATGGCGGTCTGGCGGCAATGTTGTCGCCGTCGCCGCCGTTCGCTGCCGTCCGTCGTCGCTGCTTCTGGGCCTGGCTGGCGGTTGCCGCGCTTGTTGTCGCCGTCGCCGCCCGTCGCCGCTGCCGCATACTTTGCACTACATTGCACAATTTATTTTGCACCACGAAGTTTACAATGCATTGATTTTCCTTTCTTTTTTTATTTTTTATGTAAAAAAAAAAGGATCTGCACCCCCGGGGTTAACTGTACACCTTTTTCGTATTGCCATTTACGTATGAGTATGTTCTATCGTCCGTGCTACTTATGAATTCTTTCCATCGCAGACAAGCCAGTATCGGTTCCCCCCCTCGTCCGCTGCAGCGAATATAATGCGCGCGCACTCGTTTATCAAAAACCATCCATTTTCAAAATACCTTGCAAAACATTGTGACGAAATGCCCACGCGCGCGTCGTCGAGCGCGCATACCGCAATCTTTCAAAAACGACCGGTTTCGTAAGGATGTCAAGATCGAGCGCCCCGAAAACATATAAAAACACATGTTTTCGCAACAAGGGTTTTCAAGAACGGCATGCGCCCTCGCTCTTGCGAAGTGTTAACAAAACCATAGGTTGTTCAACATGTTGCAAAAATGCTACCCATCGGGCCTCTCGCGCGCGCATGTCGAAATTGTTCGAATGCCTTTTGCGCGCGTGCTGTCGCAAGAACTCCTTGCAAAACAATTGGACGGAGTGCACGCGCGCGTCGTCGCGCGCGCATGCCGAAGTCTCCCAAAAACCTCAGGTTTCATCCTGATCTCAGAATCGAGCGTTCTGAAACATATTAAAGCACGCGAGTTCCCAACATCAGTTTTAAAACAAATGCTTGCGCGCGCGGTCGGGAGAATTCTTAAGGAAGCCATCGATTTTTCAACATCGCCATCACATTCTGCCAAACGGGCCTCGCGCCGCATGTCGAACTCATCCGAACGCCCTTGCGCGCGTGCTGGGTGATCCGATCCGTGTCAAGTACCACCACGCGGGCCACTCGCACGCGTCGGCCGCGCGCTCATGTCGAACTCCTTCCAAAACTTTCACCACCGACGCGAGGACATCGTCATCGTTATCGGCGGGCGTGATCAACATCGGCGCAGTCATTGGCCTTGCCGTCGTCATCGCCACCATCGTCACCATCATCGCTACTCTTATCATCGTGTCTACCGCTGTCGGCGTCGCCATGATACCGCGCCCGCCCACGTCACCGACTCGCACTGAAATGGCCGCTGGAAGTGCCCAGCGGTCAGCGCCACCCCGGCCGCGTCGGTCGCGCCGCACTAGCTGGCGCGAGCATGCGTGGGCTAGCGCGGCCGCAGAGATGTAGCAGCCAACGCAAAACACTGATCGCACTCGTCGTCGCATGGGTTTTGCAAACCGAGTTGCAGGTGGGTAGGTGGGATGTGTTGGCGAGCAGTGGAGTTGACAACTTCAAGTTCGGCAGGGCGAATTGCACAAGATAGGCGGCACTGCATATAACTATTCTTAGGCTTACGCCACACCGCCGACCCCTCGGGTGACTGGCGGTTGTGCGTGTTGGTCCTGAGGGTTTCTTGGACACTTTTTTGGGGGGTTCTTGGAGCTCTTCTGATTATCGAATGGACTCCAGCACTTGGGCTGCGGGTCGGACGCCACGCGGATGGTAGATGGGGTATTGCGGGAGGCGTCTCGGGAGCGTTTGGGAGGCCGTTGTTGCACCTTCGTGGGGCATCCTGGGATTTTTTGATGGATATGTGGGGGCTCTTGGAGCTCCTCGGGGGCCTATTGGAGACTTCTTGGGGCAACTGGGAAGCGTTTTTTGGGTCGAAGGCTCGAAATGTCCGTTCGGGTTCTCATTCTGGTCACCCTCTTGGGGCTGTCCTGGGGCCCCCCTGGGCTGCTTCGGGGGCTTCCTGAGCGGTCTTGGGGGTCTTGTGGGTCGTCTTGGAGCAATCTAGGAGGCTTGTTCGGCCACCTTGGACGCTCTGAGCGCGCAAGAGGCGAATGTGTTAAAAACAAACACAAATCCCTTCTGGAAATATGTTTTTTTGTTTTGCATGCCGTCTTGGGGCGCCTCTTGGGTTTTTGGGGGGACGTCTTGGGGACCTCCTGTTTTGGACCGTCTGGAGGCCAGCGCAAGCGCTTTGGATCGTTCTTTCGGTGGCTTGTGGCTCTCGTGGACCGTCGCGAAGGCCTCTGAGGCCCTTGGCTTGTTTGAGGGCCTTCAGTCCCCACCCCGACGTGTTCCAGCGGTCCCAGGGGTACCCCCCCTCCAAATCGACCGGACTGGGCTGCTGGGGGAGGGGGTTATGGAGGGGGAGCATCTCTTACGCCGATTAACCCCAAGCATCTTTTCTGGTCCATCGTCCATCCGAAATATGAACTCACATCACCCCAGCCAAACTGGTAACAGTTGCCCCCCTCATCCTCTGGAAAACAACCATGCGCGCATACTCGCTCATCACAAATCATCAGTCTCCAAGACTCCCTTGCAAGAAAACGGGAACGAAGTGCAAAAACGCGCGTCGTCGCGCGCGTATGCCTAAATCACTTTAAAATCTCAGGTGCCGCAAGGATTTCAAAATCGAGTGTCACGAAAGCATATGAAAGCACATGGCTCCGCAACGTGGAATTCCAAAACAAACCTGCACTCGCGCTCTTGCAGATCCATGAAACAACCATCGGTCTTTCAACTCTGTTGCGAAATAATACTGAACAGGCCTCTCGCGCGCGCATGTCGAAGTCTCTCGAACGCCCTTGCGCGCGTGGTGCCGCAAGGATTCGCTACAAAAAATGGGGGCGAAGTGCACACGAACGCATCGTCACGCGCGCATGCCGGAATCATTCAAAACCTTACGTTTCGTCCGGATGTCGAAGACGATTGCCCCGAAAACATGCAAAACATAATACATGGTTGTGCAACGTCAATTGTCAAAACAGTCTGCGCGCGCCCTTGCGAGTTCTTAACGAAACCATACTTGTTTCAACATTGTCACCACATTCTGCCAAACTGGCCTTTTCGCGCCGCATGTCGAGATCATCCGAGCGCCCTTGCGCGCGTGCTGGGGGGGCACGACCCGTGCCAACTAATACCACGACTCGCGCGCGTCGGCCGCGCGCGCATGTCGAACTCCTTCCAAAACCTTCATCACCGACGCGAGGACATCGTCATCGTTATCGGCGGGCGTGATCCGCATCGGGCCGTATTCGCCATGATACCGTTGTCGGCGTCGCCATGATACCGCGCCCTGCCAACTCACGGACTCGCACTGAAGTGCCTGCTGGAAGTGCCCAGCGGTCAGCGCCACCGCGGCCGCGTCGGTCGCGCCGCACTAGCTGTCCGCTGCGCGCGCGAACATGCGCGGGTTTGCGCGTCCGCAGAGATACACCAGCCAACGCCAAGCACTCATCGCAATCGCCGTCGCATGGGTTTTGCTAACCAGGTTGCGGGTGGGTGGGGTGGGATGATTGCGCGAGCAGTGGAGTAGGCAATTCACTGCGAGCACAAGTGACTTGCACCACGTAGATTGCACCACCTACAATGCACCATATATATATATATATATATTATAATATATATATATATATATATATATATATATATATATATATATATATATATACATATACATCTACCCGGGGAAGGAAATCCGGGCCCGGAAACCACGGCCTCGAACCCCCAATCTGGGTCCACCCCCCCCTGGGGCCTCCTCGGCCGCTCCCCGGCCGCTCAAGGCAGCCCTTGGGACGCTCCAAGAGCGCCCACGATGGCTTCCAGACTGCCCAAGAGGTTGCCAAGAGCACCCGAAAGCGCCACAAAGGGCCCCCAGGACTGGTCAAGATGACTTCCCAGTGCCCTAGATGGTTTCAAGACGGCCCAAGAGGCCCCGAAAACGCCCCAAGAGGCCCCAACGAGGACCCCCACGAAGCAAAAATCGGCACATTCCCTTCGGAAAACGTACATTTTTAGCATATTCGCTTGTTTGATCTCGAGAGCGTCCAAGACGTCCCAAGAAGCCCCCTAGATCCTCCCAAGTCGGCCCCGGAGGCCCCAAGAGGGCCCCAAAACGGCCCAAGAGAGCACCAAGACGGCCCAAGAGAGCCATGACGGCCCAAGAGCGGCCTCAAAGGGCCCAAAAGGCTCCCAAGAGAGTCCTGCGCGAGCCACAGGAGACCCCCAAGAGGGCCCAACAGGGCCCCAAGAGAGCCCCAAGACGGCCCCGGCCTCCCAAGTCTGCCCAATAGCGCTCCGGGACGGCCTTCGAGGGCCCCATACGAGCCCCTTCCGGGACACCACTGGGACACCGACGGGAAACCGCCGGGACACGACGGCGGGACAACCTTGGCCAACGCTGGACCACCAGGTGGGTGGGGCGGTCAACGGCTCTTGACCCGCCCTAGCCACAGCCTAACTATTCTTCTCGCCCGCCCACGCAGCTTCGCCTCGCCCGCACGCACGACACGAACCCGAAACCGAAACCCATTTCCTGGTGGGGGGCTCTCCGTTCCACTGCGATCTCACCCCCTCACTTCCGACCTCTTCGGTGCTTCTTGGGGCCGTCTTGGAGGCCGCTTGGAGGCGGAGAACAGGGTGGAGGATCCCAATATGTTGTAATTCTTCCCTGGCCTGCGCTAGAACCTAGGCGCGCGCGTGGTTCTAGTATATATATATATATATATGTATATGTATATACACATATATATATATATATATATATATATACATATATATATATATATACATATAGGTTGCATTTCGTAGTGCATTGCGTCGATTGTACCACATATGTTGCACCGCACAGATTGCGCCACGTAGATTGCACCGCATACAGCGCATTGCATAATATGCTAGAACGCAGCGTTCGGGGTCCATGCTGGCTCACATGTCCATACGTTTCTTGGGACCCCCCCCCCCCAGGTCCGCGCACATGCCTCAGATGCCATGCCTTGCGATCCCCCCTCCTCGATGCCCCCGAAGCGCACCGCCAGCGGCACGAGAGCTGCCTAAAAGCATCGCGGGGCGCACTCGCTGATCGTGGAAAGTTCCGGGCCTGATTCCTTCCAGGGGACCCGCTCCCCTCCTTCTGTCGCAGGCCCAGAGGTTGACACCAACACCAAGATCGGCGGTGTGCCTCCACCGAGGGATGAAGATCCCAATCTCGGTGATGGTGGTAATATTATGGCTTCCAAGGTGACCGAAATATTACCACCAACACCGAAATCCAGGATCATTTTCCCCCCGTGGAGGCACCTCCCTGTTTTGGTGTTGGTGCCCATTTCCAGGCCTCCAATTCTGAGAGGCGAGCAGCGCCAGCAGCAGCCAGCCCTGCGCCAAGCGCGCCAGGCGGGGCGCGCCGCCCGCGCTGACGCCCGTGCGTCCGCTGGACCAGGCCGGCTGCGCGCGGGAGGGGGCAGGGCGGCGATGGCTACATCGCAGACCACGTCGTCGATCGCCTGGTTTCTCCTCCTCCTCCGCCTCCTCCTCCTCCTCCTCCTCCTCCTGCTCCTCCTGCTCCTCCTCTTGGTCTCTCTTCGCCTCGGGTGGCGAGGGCGGATCCAGCCACCGCCCCTCTCTGGGCGGCGGGCGGCGCGCGCTGCACCCGAGGGCCCCGCCCCCCCCCCCCCCTTGGTATCGCAGACCAGGGTGGGCTTTGTAGAAAGCCCACAGGCCTTCCAGAAAACCCTCCTATGAAGGGAAGCCTCCGATCCCTTCCAGGAAGCCCCCTGCCTCTTCAGAAGGCCGTACCCTGGGGCAAAGTATCCGCTCGAAGCCAGCCCCCGGACCCCTGCCGAAGTCCACCTTGGCCAGCTTTCCGAGCCGTGCGCAACGGCGGCGACGAGACCCAACAGAAACGCCCGAAGAGCTTCCCAAGTCGGACGACGTCGTCGCCGCCTCTGTCGCAGTATCGTTTAACATGTGCCCAGCTCCACCAGACCATGGTATCACAGCTTCACCATCCCACCCCTCACTTCGGGGACGGGCCCTTCGAAGACCGCAGAGAACAGCCTGTGTCCCCATCGAGGGGGTTACATCGGCCAGTGGGGCCCAGGCCACGCCAATGGGGATACGGCCAGGAAAGTTGGGTTACCGTTTCGAGCCGCCGGTTCTTGCCCACCACGCTGGGGCGCGACGAGCTGTCCACGTCACCAGTCCCTGGCGTCACTGTCCCGAGCCTTTCCGAGCCTCCCGCCTCGCGGAGCGGAGCGAGACGCTGTCCGCTCCCAGGGCACAGCGTGCCGCCCGGGCCGCGACACACTAGAAAGCTCCCGACCGTAGGGATCGGCTCAACGACAACCCCCCCTTGGCCCGTGCGCCGCCGCAGGCTGGCCCCGCCGCGGCGAGGCCTGGCAGCAGCGGCGGCAAGGCGTCGGCACCGCCGCAGCCCAGCGGCGGCGCGAGCAGCGGGCGGGGCCTGAAGCCCGAGGGCTCCAAGCCGGTGCCGGGGTTCGAGGCCCAAGGCCTCACCGTCGCGAGGCGCGCGGAGCGCCCGGGAGGACAAGGGACAGGCTCGTCAGGAGCGAAAGAAGGACGTACACGTACATGAGTCCACGCTGGTTTCGAGAGTCCGCATTGCGCGAATGTTCGTATCATGCGGCCGGTCTCGCGGGTCAAGGGGCCGTGTTCATGTACATAGTTGGGCGCGTTTGTGGGCTCCCTAGCTCGGCCAGGCTGAGTTTCGCCTGGGCGAGCTTTTCTTGGCCGAGAGTAGTTGCTGCCGGAGGGGGAGGGGGGGAACACATGGAGGGGGGACAGGCCCGTGACAGGACACCGGTTCTCTCCCCAAGGCCGCCGCCCATGAGGTGAGCTAGGCTCGTCCCTGGAGCCCCGAAGGGCCCTCTGGGCGGGCGCGCGATAGCCAACCCTCGTGAGCCTGATGCTCAGCTGGGGAGGCGGGGGAAGAGGAGGAGGGGGGGTGGCAGGCGAGGGCGACGGCGACGATGAGGAGGGGGGGGCAGAGGAGGAGGAGGAGGAGGAGAAGGAGGAGGGGGAGGAGGAGGGGGAGGAGGAGGAGGAAGCTGCTGCCTCGCGGGGCAAACCCTTCCGCCCAACCCCTTCCAACAAACAAAAACTTAAGCGCAGGCGGATGGCCGTGCGCGGTGCCCGCCAGCCTTGCGCATTGTCCACGCGGCGAGGCGCCCGCGAAATCCACCAAGACTTCGCGGGCCACCACGACTCCAGCGCAATCAAGACCAGTATGAACTAAGAGTCCACCGAGTCCAGCCATGAAGTCGAGACCTATTTACCGCGTCATCTACCACATGGTGAGAAAGCATACCGAGCCGCCACCCAGAAAGTCGCATACGCGATCGGGCAGCGCATCGAGACAATCAGGAACGACATCATGAGCATAGTTGCCCAGAACCGCAAGAGCCAGACGGACAGGGACCAGCAGCGCGCCTGCAGGAACCACCCGCGCGCCAATTGGAACCAGCAACGCCCAAACGCCGACCAGAAGCGCTACAACCACAAACAGCAGCTCTTCGACCGGGGACCAGGACCAGAAGCATTCCAGCAACCAGCAAGGATACCATTGGGGTGCAGCAGCGCTTCGACTGGAACCAGCAGCGCCCCAACGAGAACCAGGAGAACTCCTACGACCACCAGCAGCGCAACGAGGAGCAGGCCGGGGCTGGCTCCGCAGCTCAGACCACAGTGGGCACCCCAAGACAGGGGGACCCATGGCTCCCGTGGCTCCCCCCAGGGTGTTAGCGCCGAGAGACCAGTGGACCCGAAGACGGGGGAGGACCCGGCGCAAGCCAAAAGAGTGCCGTGGTTCACGGGACGAAGGAAACAACGCCAGCCGACGGGCTAGAGACAAACAGCTTCCGCAAAGAGGCGCTAGCGTTCTTGCCGACCTTTGTTGCCACGGCAGAAATCACGGATATTCTCAACGCTAAGATAGTTGCCCTCAAAAGTGAGATGCAGCAAGTGTTCCGGGCTTGATGGGCCCACGTCGCCACCAATCCAATCGCTTGTGCTTGCGGTGCCGTCGTCTTCCCTGGGGTCGCGTGGCCGCCGCAGCAGACAGGCCAGCAGCCCGAGGCCGGCGAGGACCAGCAGAGCGATTGCAGCCGGGCGCTCCAGGACGACGCCCAGAGCGAGCAGAGCTCCCCGGAGTGCCAGCACAGCCACGGCCAGACCCGGCAGCGCGGCACCGGAGGCCAGCGTGGCAGGACCGCCGGGGCGGCGACCAGGACAGGCAGGCCGACCCAGAGCGCCAGGCAGCGCGAGCGCCGCCGGGCCTGCTCCGCGTGCACAGGTCCGTCCGCAGCGGGCACCCCCCCGAGAGGAGGACCCTGGGCACCCGCCAGGGCGCTGGCCCCGAGAGGCCGGTGGACCTGACGAAGGGGGAGGGCCCAGCACAAGCCTAAAGAACGCGACCTGCGGGCCAGCCCGACGGCCCATGGGGCCAGAGGACCAACAGGGCGACCTCAGCCAGGCTCCTTTCCAGTACAGCCCGAAGAACGCGCGCTGCTACCCCGAGCGCCAGCCGAACTGCGGCCGGGGCCAGCAGAGCAGGAAGAGGAGGAGGAGGTGGAGGAGGTGGGAGGACGAGGAGGAGGAGGAGAAGGAGGAGGAGGAGGAGGAGGAGGAGGAGGAGATGGAGGGTGGAGGGAGGAGCAGGTGGAGGAGGAGGAGGAGGAGGAGGAGGAGGTGGAGGGTGGAGGGAGGAGCAGGTGGAGGAGGAGGAGGGTGGAGGAGGAGGAGGAGAAGGAGGAGGTGGAGGAGGAGGAGGAGACCATCGGAGCTGCGAGCCAGGGCAGGCAGAGCGGCCCGGAGCGCCAGCAGCACGCCCCGAGCCGGGTCCAGGCTGCCCCATCGGCTCCGTCCACGGCAGGCACCTCGGAGGGGGGCGGCCCCCAGGGCGCTGGGCCCGGGAGGCCAGTGCACCCGGAGACTGGGGTCGGGGGTGGACCGACCTCCCAGCCTGACACGTCGATTAGCGAATTGGCCGCCCCATCAGCTCCGCCCACAGCAGGCACCTCGGCGGAGGGCGGCCCCCAGGGCGCCGCTGGGCCCGGGAGGCCAGTGCACCCGAAGACTGGGGTCGGGGGTGTCGGGGGCGGCAAAGAGGGGGGTGATGACTAGGGGGGGGGCGGATCTCATGGCGGGGGCCATGATAGTTCCCCAGATTTCATGGCGCCCCTTCTTGTTGCATTACGTCCCTGGCCCCCCCGAAGATTGGGTCCGGGAGGCCAGTTCACCCGAAGAGGGAGGCCAGTTCACCCGAAGATTGGGTCCGGGAGGCCAGTTGGCCCTCCCGCGGCCCCCCAAAGAAGCCGCGCACCCAGGGTCACTCTTTCCCAGGGTCACTCCTCGCGTGTCGCCGAGTCACCACCGCCTGCCTTCCCGCCAGGACGATGCAGCTGGCGGGGGGATCGCGTGAAAGGGGGGAACGGGGGGGTCCGCTGGCCTGCTCTCGGGGGTGGGCAGACCTCCCATCCTGACACGTCGATTAGCGAATTGGCCGTTTTCGGTTCGCGAGAGGGCGTCGTGGCCGTCGTTTTTGCGGGCCCAGGCCCGTCGGTTTCGGTCCCAGGCCGTTCTCACTACAGGGCGGTTTACTCAAGGGAGGTTTGTCCACCGCCGATGGGGGACCCAGCATGAGCCAAAAGAACGCGGCCAACGGGCCAGCAGAAGGCGCGACGGCCCACGGGTCGGAATGCGACGCCTGCCAAGATCAGGCCCCGCCGCTCACAGGCCAACGCCCTATCACCCCGACCACGACGGCTTCTTGGCGGGGGGGCCAGACCTGGCCAACCTCGAGAAGCTCTTCTATGAGGCTCTCGCAGAGATCGCGAGGCTGGGGCGCGCTGAAAAGGCGCACCGGCAGGGCCCCGGGGGCATGCAGCTCCGTGGCGCGCGATGCTCGCGAGTTGGAGGTCTGCCCCGACGACCTGTGCAAAGCGCGCGCGGAAGCTGTGCTGGAAGCGCTCGGCGAGTTCGGTTTGATGTCGCTTCCCCTCAGCCATGCGAGCGGGCGTCGTGGGTCGCCCGCAGCCTGGCGGCCAGCACGGACGGGCTGCGAGCGGGGCTCGCGCGCTCAGAAGCCATTTTGGCAGTAGAGCGGATGTGTTGGACAACGTTGTGCAAAGCCAGGAACAGGGCCATTTCCAGAGCTCGGTCGCGCAAGCCTGGTTATCGCGGCTCGGACGTGCGTCTGCTGACCCAGGCTCTCGTCGAAGGGCCCCGGCAGCAGGTGCCATACCCAGTTCCAATATGGAAGTGGGAGGTGGTGCGAAGGTATGCTTGGCGAGGCGCCCAACGCATCAACGTCCTCGAATCCATTGCATTCCTGACTTACGTCCGGGCGCGCGTGGCCAACCCAGACAGGCATGGAGAACGTTGTTTTTTCACGCATTCGATGCCCGCGTCGCATTTTGCGTGGCGGCTAAGGGTCGTTCGAGCGCGAGGGTGCTCAATCGGCCCCTTCGGCGGTTCGCGGCGGTGACTTTGGCAGCTGATTTGCACGTGCTGTGCTTGTGGGCCATCAGTTGGTGGAGCGCGTCGGACGCAGCCAGTAGGCTGCTGGAGGTGCCCAGCTTGCCAGCGATGCCGGGTAGCAAGCGTGCGGCTCCAGGTCCACGCATAGCGCACACAAAGTACGTCAATATTCAGCCGCCTACTGTCATTCGCTACCGCCGCGCCGTTCACCGTTTATTCTGCTATCTGACCTCTCGTGGAATTCGTATGTCAATCCGTTTTGATGAGCTGGACGATGTCATTGGAGAGTACACCGACCACCTGTACCAGGACGATTTGCCGCAGTCGTGGGGCAACGATGTGGTATGTGGGATCAAGCGCATCTACCCGCGGTCATGGCGAAAGTTCGACACATCCACACTTTACTACATGTCCAACTGGACTCGGTCGTCCCGTCGTCGCCGTGCGCTGGCGTTGTCCGGAGATCTAGTCCAAGGGACGGCTGCAGTGGCGCTACTCCAGGGCTGGGATCGCACGGCGGCCGCTTTGCTGATCGGCTTCGTATGCTTGCTCCGGTCAGGCGAGGTCGTCAGCATCATCAAGCGGCAATTCACCGTCCTAGGTGGGGGCGCCGCTGTGCTGCTAACGCTCCCAGACAGCAAGGGGACAAAACGGCATGGGCAGGTGGAGCACGTGACGTCGTACGACCCGTTGTTAATTAAGTTCCTCATGCAAGTTTTGGCCCCTCTCGGGGACTTCGACCCTCTCTTCTTGAGTGGTTTCGCCGCCCTCAAGCAGCGAATCGCTGATCTAGTTCATTTTTTTGTGGCTACAGAGCCCCAACCTCACGCCATATTACCTCAGACGCGGAGGTGCCACGTGGCATTTCACACCGTTTGGCAATTATGATGCCAGACAAGCTCTGGGTCGATGGGGGGGGGTCCTTCGAGTGCCGAGTGGCTCTTGGCTGATGTCGGATCGTGGTCCTTGCCAGAGCGTGGCCGAATGCGACTTCAGCGGGCCTTCCGGTGTTGCCCTCCCTGCTCCGCCCTCCTGAAAAGGGTCCTTGGCCGTGGCTGTGCCGCAGTGCCGGTTGCTCCGTGGAGCGTGCCGGCAGTGCACGGGTCCTTTCAAGTGCCCTTCGGCGGCCGGTTCACGCGCTCCCTTGAAGGTAGGGGCTTGGCATCGCTCGGACGTGTGCATTGTTCTTTCGGCGAGGGCCCTCGAGGAGCATCCTGGATTATTCGGCGACAAAACCACGCACGAAACCGAAAAAAACACAGGGAATGGACGTCCGAGCGATGACGAGGGGGGGGGGGGGGGCGCGTGCGTGGGAGGCTCTTTTGAGGTCTTCCCAGGCCCGCGCGGGCGGCCGTTGCCCACGGGGGCGCGGTGGAACCCAGGGGCCCCTTGCCCCAATTGGCCCAGCAGATGCCGTGGCCAAGGCCTGCGGCCCGGCGCGCGCGGCGCGGCGGCACACGCACAAAGCCTCACGGGTGGAGGGGAAAACAGCACGATGAATATAGAGCGGGCATCTTCTCGACCCCTCCATCGTTGACATTTGCAGCATCTGGCAGCCTAGGGCTTCTTACTCCATCGCGCGTCGACTGGCTGTGTCCAGCGAGTGCCGAGTGGCTCTTGCGGTGAGTTTCTCCCTCATTCCCGCCGTCCCACTTTCACGTTTTGAGGTCGAGGGTTGTAGTCACTCCATTCAGAATGGATACCTTGTCTCCTCCTCCTCCTCCTCCTCGTCGTCCTCCTCCGCCTTCTCCTCCTCCTCCTCCTGCTCCTCCTCCTCCTCCTCCTCCTCCTCCTCCTCCTCCTCCTCCTCCTCCTCCTCCTCCTCCTCCTCCTCCTCCTCCTCCTCCTCCTCCTCCTCCTCCTCCTCCTCCTCCTCCCTCCTCCTCCTCCTCCTCCTCCTCCTCCTCCTCCTCTCTCTCCCCCTCAGGGTATCCATGCTCCTCTCTCTCCTCCTCCTCGTCTTCGTCCTCCTCTCCTCCGCCTTCTCCTCCTCCTCCTCCTCCTCCTCACTTCCTCCTCCTCCTCCTCCTCCTCCTTTTTTAAAGCGACTAATCCTTCGTCGTACCTCCATCCCTCACTTATTCCTTGCCTCCCCCCCTGCTCCACTTCCTCATCAGCATCACCATCATCAGCAGCATCACCATCACCAGCATCATCATCATCATCATCATCATCATCATCATCATCATCATCATCATCATCATCATCATCACCATCACCATCATCATCACCACCACCATCACCACCACCATCATCACCATCAACATCATCCCTGCTGACCTTCCCATTCACTCCTGCATCCTCCCTCCCTCCTCCCCTCGCTGCCTCCTTCGGTGGGTGGACTAAACGTGTCCACACGTGTCTCGCCAAGACCTTGAGTCATCATAGTACGTCGGACCGACATGCATATCCCCCTTCCCCTAGATTCAAAGTTGACGGGTTTAGGCGGCAGGCCAAAGGCCAGGGACAAAATGTGGACATTTCAACTTTGGGTTGGGGGGAGGGGTGCGAACCAGGGGCATTTCGGAGTTGTGGTTGTTCTCATGTTGCATCGCCCTGCCGCCATGGGTGTGTACACTTTTTGTCCGGGCACCGTTCCCCCACCCTCTCCCATATGTTCCCCCTCCTCCCGATGAGTGGCGGCTGCAGGTGCCGCAAGAAGCTCCCCAAGACGCAGTCCTGGTGCTTCGTGCCCCTCATTTTCAGCGCCCTCGGACGTGTGCCAGAAAGGCTGCGTCACGAGGCGTGAGGGCGAGAGCGGGAGAGAACAAGGTTTAAGGGAGTGGAGAGGAGCGGATGGCAGAAGAGGGGCAATGTAGGAGAACACGGAGGGAGAACGGAAGGAAGGGAGAGAGAGAGAGAGAAGGAGAGAGGACGAGGAGAACGAGGAGGAGGAGGAGGAGGAAGAAGAAGAAGAGAAAGCGGAGGAGGCCGCCGACGACGACGGTGTGGACGAGGTGGAAGAGGTGAAAAGGGGTGGAGAGGGCAGGAGGTCCATAGCCATGTTGGCTCCAGCTGCCACTTGATCCAGGCAGCTGGGCAGGACAGCGGAGGCGCACGTGGGCAGGGAGGTGGCATAGCCTCGCCCATCAGTTTTGTCCTCGTCCTTCTGGGCGTCACGACACGTCAGGTCACGACTTTGGACCCGCTGTTCCCGAAGGCATGGCGGCGTGTTCCTCGGCGCGATCATGGTTCGGCGTCCGACGGCGGCGAGGAGAGATCCGTCTCCAGGAGCGGCGGCAGCGCTCACAGCCGTCAGCAGCGTCGTCGGGCTCAGCGGCAGGACCGCGGTGGTCGATTTCGGAGGAGGCATTTCTCATGTGCGAGGGCAAGCGGGTCCAGCCACCTTGGAGCAGGTCGACGCCAGTGAGCCTGCTCAGCTGCTGGCCGACGTCGATGTCGCCCCGACGTTCCCGACTCAGCCTACGCCTGCCCCGGGCACCCCTGGACAACATGACTCTTTGGGCGGCGGCTGCGGCAGTATCTGATGTTCGGCCCTCCCCTCACGCTCGGCCTGCTGGTGCAAGTCTCAACGATCTGCATTTCATCGGCGACAGCTCCGACCAGGAGATTCGCCAGTACGTGGTCCGCACGCGTAATGAGAGCTTCAATCTGGTCTCCAATCTGCAGCGCACCGTCCACCAGCTCGCCATTCAGGTCTCCAACTCCCACGACGGGCTCGGCAGGCATATGGAGACCAGTCTCGACGCGGCGGAGTCCACGCAAGGCGCCTAAGGGCGAGGGGTGGCCGAGATGCGCGACAAGGTGCGGCAACTCTGTGGCAATTTCAACCAGTAACGGGACAAGGACCTTCAGAAACGGCCCGTACAGGTCCCCAGCTTCAACAGAAAGATCGACCCAATGGTGTTTGTTATCACGTCCAATGAGTTGGTGGCACAAGAAAGATCGCAGGCGGCGCTCACACCCTGCCTGGAGTCGTGAAGCTTGACAGCGGATGCTGACGACAAGTGGGAGGGATATCCCAGTGGGAAACCCGTCGTTGACCTCTTCAACGGCGGCGTCAACTACGCGAACCGCAAAGTAGGGCAGTGCATCAGAGGTCTTCGGAAGAATTTTCCTACGTGAGCATTGGCGGCGAGTTCGCCCCCATCCTCTTCATCGGCGACAGAAGTCAAAGCACCATCAAAAGGGAAATGGCCCTCCATCGCGCGTCGCGAGGTGGAGCGGTGGACAAGAACAAGGGCATAATCAGCGCGAGCCGGCTGCCCTTCGCCCACATCGCACCAGTCCCGGACGGCGGCCAGCCGACAATGGAGTGGAGCGCGGAGGACATGCAGACGTTCTGGCCCCTTTGCCAGACGATGCGCTGGCGGGCGCGGAGGCCGGGCCTACTGAGTGGTCGGTTTGGCACGCCTCTTGTTTTCCTGGTGGCCGACAAGCGGGCGAGAGGGCGAGTTTCGATGTCTCTCTGTTGCGAGTTGGAACGCACGTGCGTTATCTCACCATGCTTGTGACACTAGGTTGAAGAAGCTGCGATATCCTTCGCGGCTGCTCGATGGAGCAGCTGTTGTGGTGCAAGAGACGCACGGCACACGAGAGGAGGCCCAGGATTTCCTCCATTGCATGCACAAGACGGACTACCACGGCGTTGCCTCTCTGGTGAGGGATGGGCGGCACGCAGGCGGTGTAATGACTGTTTGCAGGCTGCATCGCTGGGGATTGGAGGC